CTCCGGGAGGGGCAGCAAGGCCCACAGAGGACGAGATAGAACAGGCCAGCAGAAAGGGAAGGAAGGATAAAAAATGGTCTTTCCCAGGGTGACAAGACCCTGCACGCAGACAACCAAATCACACGCAAACCAGCAGAGCCGAGCAGCTCAGCCAGGGCCCAGGCATGTGCGTCTGCAAAGCCCCCTCCCCCGGCACAGGTGTCCACCGGACACGCCACCCGTCACTGGGTGTGTGATTTGTAAGTAGTTCTGACCAGTGTGTGGTTGTCCTTTACTCTGGCCCACCTGAGTGCCAGCAGGAGCCCCGGGGAGAGGGACAAGCCTGCTGTGGGTGTCTCACACGCCATGGCTGCCTTCTCTCTCTCTCTCTGCTCAGCCACTCGCTCCATTTTCTGAAACACCAGGCATCCCATTGGCACAACGTGAGCAGTTCAAAACCACCAGCCACTTGTACAGAGTTACAGTCTCGGAAACTCACGGGGGCAAGTTCAACCCTGTACTATCGGAGTTGGCACTGACTCAATGGTAGCGGGTTTGGCTTCTTTGTTGTCTGTTTCCGAAAGTAGCCCCTTCACTCATTCACCCCCTTTGCCCTCCCCCATTTTGAAATGGGGGGCGGCTTTTGGCTTCCTGGGCAGTCCTCCCATTCTTACTGACAGGGGGCAGCTCTGTGGACCCGAGACACAAACCTGCTCTGTTGTAATCGATCCTCCACTCCCGCTGAGACTCGGGCCGCTCGGGACAGGGGATGATGAAGGACACGATGAAGGCTACGAGCAGGCAGAGGAAGAGGGAAAGGAAGAAGGCCACCGCCCGGCACCGCGACAGCCGGGAGTGCCGCCGTGCGGGGCTGCTCCGGCCGGGCTCCTCCTTCTCAGAGGGGCTTCGCCCGCTCTCGGCCGGTCTCCCGTCTTCGCTCTTCAAGGGGTGGATTTCCGCGTCCAGGTCTTTGTTGTCCACCATCATGTGCACATTCCCGAGGCCACGCTGGTCCCTGTGGCCAGGAAACTGGAGTTAGCGGGGCCCGGGGCCACTTCCAGCCCTTCAGGAGCCAAGCCCATCAGCCCACGGAATAAACAGGAAAGTAAGAGGGGGATGGGCAGCCAGCAGGCAGGCCCTGTGGCCATCCTGAGCCTCTGGAGGTCTGGCCTTCCGTCCTGGTACCAAGCGGTGGGGCTGGGGCTGGGGCCTGTGACTGGTGAATGAAGCCCCTCCCCTGGGAGCCTGGGCACAGCTGGGACCCCAGGTTGAAAGCATGTTCAGGGAGGACAGCTCTGCCAATTGATAGGGCCGTGCCCATTTCCTTCTGTGTGAAAGGGGTGGGGCACATAGAGAGTCTTTGGAACAGCATCCAAATACCAGCTAAGTCTTAGTATTGGTAGCACATTTGAAACAGGAGTCCCCGGGGAGGAGGGGGCAGCGGTGGGAACTGGAGAGTCTGCACAGCCTCGGCGGCTCTGCCTTGAAGGCCATGCGGACACTTAAGAGGTCAGGGATGAGGCCGCCTATGCAAGAGATGACGGACACTGGCTGTTGGACGTGGCCCCTCTGGGGACAGACGGGCCAAGGAAGAGGGAGACAGACGAAATGTCCCCTTTCTTCCATTCACTCTTTTTCTATTATCAGTCAACAAAAGCAACTCGTCTAAAAGCCTGGGTGTGTTCGCCTTGGTGCTGAGACATGCATTTCAGCGTCTCTCGGTCAGAGGGGACCGGTCCAAGGGTAAGGAGCTGGACACGGTGAGTGAGGACCACGAACCTGCAGACCTCATTACACGGGGCACCTGGCACACGGCGGGCGGCTCCTCTGGGAAGGGAGCCAGGAAGAGGGCCGGCCACCGTGACGGGAGCGGCTCAGCAATGGGGCCCAAGGGCTGGGGCCCCACCAGGACCTGGAGGCCAGGAAACAGGGCCCTTGACTGAGCACCTCCAGCCACCGGGTCCCCATGAACACAGAGCCCCTTTGGCAGAGGAGAGAA